CTCTTACATCTGCAACAGCCGTCAGTGCTTCTAGACAGTTCAGTTCTTTTTCCAAGTGCAATCATTTTGGACCATAACAAATTTGATTTACTGCCAACACAGGCCTCGCTGGATCGTTCGTTCTCTTATCTCCAGCCATGCTGGGCTGTCATGTGTCCAACATCAACCATTTGTAAAGACAGCCCAAAACAAAGTTTTGGCCATCTGTGGCCACAGTCGGATTAAGCATATATTGTGAAAAATTGATTTTAGAAAGACATAAACAAGTGCCCACTGGTGCTTTAGAGGAATGAAGTACTTTCCTGAAGTGGAATGGAGACTGTAAGAGGTTTGTAATAGAGAGGAGTTTTTTTTTTTCTATTGTTGATGTGATTTCTTTCTACTATTTGCACCAGAAAAAAAATATGAAGAGGGAAGAAATAAGCTTTTGTTTAAAAAAATATTGATAAAGTCATAAAATCACCAGCAAGATAAATGAAATGAAAACCTGAACCTCTTTTGCAGGATTTTTAAAGGAGTGACCATGCAAGAAGACTTTCTCAGGCACTTGATAATATGCATATATACTTAAAAGAGAGAACTTTGCCTCATAAACTGCACTTGCAAAAGTAGGTAGGTGAAATATGAGACTACTTTCTCCAGTAACTAATATTTAAAAGAAAAATTCAATCAGTTATAGACACATTTGTGGCTGTTTGCTTCCATCACACAAAGCAGCTGCAGCATGTGTTTAAACTCCTGAGCAAACACAGGAATATTGATCCAGAATGTAAATATCAGCTGTTGATGGTGAGAGAACTAAGAATTCTGAGGAATAAATTGCTACTGAATTCTTAAGCTCATGCTCAGACTTTGAAGGAATGAAATATACTCAAAGTTAAGCAGTTAAGCAGTTTTCTGACCTTGTCTTTGACAAGTGAATGTATGAGAATTCTGTGCTGCTGAAGGGAGATGGATGATTTTTTTCCACTGCTAGTTAAGCACGAGACAAGACAGGAAAAACTTCAGAAGGCACACAGTTTATCCATCTTGTTTTGGCTAATTGTTATTTGGATATGCACCAAAGAGAGGGATTGGGAAGCCAAGAAACCCTGGGAGTCAAGAAGTGCTGTGATGGATGGGAAGCCTGGGGCTGATGTTACGTTTCCAACAGCTGGAAGCATTCCCTGCCACCCTAGTGATACAAACCACCTGCTGGTATGTCTCACTGGTGGGAAGATGGATGAGCCGAAGTGTTCTTGGATGTCTTTGCTTTCCTGGAGTTTTAATTGCTTTTCAAAAGTGAGGGATTTTTTTGTTTGTTTGTTTTATTTTCATTTTATAGTAAATCAGGTCTCCTGCAGATTAATTTAGGATGCTTTTCAAGCACCACTTTCATGATTCCTGTGTGAGCAAACACTCTGGAGACATTGTACTGGCAAACTGTCAAGGACATATGGCTGAAACCCCTCTAAAAGCAGCTTCCATGGAAGGGGATTGACATTTCCTGGGGTTATCATATGGCAGGATTTGTCATACTAACTGCTGGAAAGTCCAGGAAAGTTGTAGGCTGGATTCTTGCACCTTGGATTAAAAGTAAAGACTGATAGAGCTAATTGAGCTTCTTACTCTTTAATTTGAAATACCTCAAAAATTACTCTTGCCTTTTTCAGGGTTTTCCCGTAACCAGACTAACAATATAATTTATGTTTGATTGCATTTGTTTCGTGGGGTTTTTTCCAGATGTTCTTACTGAGACTCTCTATAAATTCAAGCATTGTAAATACAATGAGTAAATACAATGACTGCACATGCAGATGTTCCACAGTTCTCTGCCATCAGAACAGGGTGTCTATCTTGTTTATGAAGTGCCTTGTGTTCAGTGTGACCCCTGTGTATGAGAGGTAAACTATTCCTGTGAGAAGCAGGGAGCTGGACTCAGATGATCCCTATGGGGCCCTCCCAGCTTGAGATGCTCTATGATTCTTACATAAATCCAGCTGGTTACAGAACAGTGCAAGACAAACACAAAATGGCAGTAGCTCAGTTGAATGGAACAGGTGAGAGAACAGGTCTCTAAGATGTATTTTTGAAGTAGAAGGAAGGTAGGGTTTAAGGCATTTTAACATGGAGTATGTCTTACAAGAGAAGGCTTGTGGAGGAGGCTGGAAGCACAGATAATTGATGGTTTGGGTGGAGAAGAAGTAGCTGTATGGGTGTAATTGTGTGGAAGATCTGAGTTGAGGAGGGGTGGTGGTGGGGATAACATGGTGGAGGCCTAAAGGAAGGAAAATGCTACTGCCAGAATTGCCTTAGTCAACGTTAAGAGCAATATTAATGACCATGTTAAGAGGTTGGAGTGCAGAAGAAAGTAGAGTGGTGAAAATAAAAACTGGCATGTTTTCCATTTGAAGAAGAGAAAGGAAAATATATTTAAAAAAATAAAAAAAATTGGCAGATCTTTAGGTGAGTGCAGATGGCTTGGGGAATAGGACTTTCCGTTTTAGCTCTCTTGTCTTTTAGTTCTAGGCCCCACAGATACAGTTCCCAGTGACAAGCTTCTAAAGAGCTCTCAAACCTCACAATTCTGCTGGTAAAAAGGATTTTACTGGTTTTTATATGGTGAGTTTGATAAGGAATTTGAGCTGGCTGCCTTACCCACCCTGCCAGCACTGGGTTGGGGCCATCGTGGAGGTCAGAGCTCAGAAATATCAGGATCTTGTCCTATAAACCACGGTGTTGATGCTGCAGCTTGGTTACAGGGTGTCCAGCTGGCCAAGGCTGTGCTCATATGGGGTGCACTGGGGTACAGGGACTTGCTCCTGCCCCGTTGACTGTGTCCCCCTTCCCAGAAGAGGGAATGTTGACCCGTGAGAGGCTGAAACGTGATTTCCCAGGGCAGCATTCAGGGTCTGATGTGTGCAAGCTGTGAAGGGCTGCTGTGTGTGCAGGGAATGCAGAATTACAGAAGCATCTGAGTGAAACTTATGGGTGTTTGGCCTTCAGAAAAGTTTTTTTGGGTTTTCGGCATTTTGAGGTTGTCTTTTTGATTTGTTTGGGTTTTTGTTTGTTTGTTTTGGGGGTTTGGTTTTTTTTTGGTTTTTTCTTTGCTTTTGGGCTTGTGTTTTTTTGTTTTGTTTTGTTTTTAAAAAGAACTAATTAGAGGGGTTTTTTACATTTTTACCCCTTCTCTTCATGTACCTGAATCTACCTTAATTTTCCCTTCATCTATCTTCCAGGAAAGAGGCAAGGATTTGGAACACTGTAGTGCAAGGACACAGACTGCCCTGACACACAGCTTCTGTTGCAGAGGAAGAACAAGAGGAAACGAGGAGGATTTTTGCTGGTGGCTGTGACTGTCCAGAACTCTCAGGTACAGTGAAAACAGTGGGATTTCCAGGAGAAGCAGCGGAAAATGTCGGAAGCGGATGGGCGATGGGGAAACTAAGGAAGGGGGAGATGCTCACGGAGCAGCGCGGCTGAAATCCCCGTGGCGTGGAGAAGGGCAGTGACACTGGGCTGTGCCCGCGGCGCTGCGAGGGGAGGGTTGGCTGACACGGGGGTGAACCTGCGCTGAGCCGGGCTCTGCCTGCGCCGTTCATCATGATTAAGCCTCTGGAGTGAGGGTGTGGGAAGCGCTGTAATTGTCGCCCACTCTGGTAAAGAATTACAATTTATGGCTCTCGAGCGGTCAGGGCTGGGAAGGGAAGGGAAGTGAACCGGCAACAAAATTCCTTTACGTACATGTTAGCAAAGAGAATGTTACAAACTGCGTAAGCTGGACGGAGCGTCTGCCCTGGCGTTGGGCTGTTCCCAAGGGTTGCTGCGTATTGGCCTTCTGAAGTGAAAAGACCGGTGATAGCACTCCCAATTGCGATCGTCCAGGGATGCTCAGCCTGCCTTTGAAGTCAGAGAGCTTCCCAAGGTCCACCTGCTGCTAGACCGGGGATTCAGGGCACAAAGCACAGATTTGGAAACATATCTCTTCATCCCGTTTTGTTGCCAGCCCCAAGCACAAAGCGCGTTCGATGGGTCACTACACTTTATAAATTGTGTGCACATTTGTTTTATCACCGGTGTTGTTGGAAGGCCAGTGCCGGAATTTTCACGTGTTGCCCTTTTCTGACTATCAGTTTGCCGCTGTTGGATGCGAGGAGAACTAGTTTCTGGTAAATACAGTGAAGTGACACGGTTGCCACGTGTATTTATTTTGACAGGTCAACCCCTGTTTCGCTATATCGTGATTTAAACAATTTAGTACGATGCAGAGGCCACAAAACTTCTGGTCTAAAGTAACTGTCGGGTTACTTTACTTGTAGCGCCGGAGGAGAAGATGTCCGACCTCGCCCGTGGCACGTTCGCTGCATCCCGGGAGCGATGCTCGGGGCAGCGCCGAGCGGAGCCCCGCCGGGGGTCCTGGCCCCAAGACGTGCCCTGGCCCCTCGGCGCTCCCCCGGATGGCCGCGGGCATCAGGGAGAGCGGCGTCGGGGAGCGGCCCCGGCGCGGGCGCGGGGGCGGTCGGGGGCGGGGCGGCGGCTGGGGGGCAGCCCCGCGGTGCCGCCGGGGACGTCCGTCCCGCGCGTGCGCTGGCCTCCGCTTGCCCGTCCTGCCCTCCGCTCCCGCTGCCCGTCCTGGCCTTGCCGTCCGCTGCGCCGGTCATGCCTCCCGCTCCGCTGCCCGTCCTTGGCCTGCCGCTCCGCTCCCGTCCTGCCTCCCTCCGCGGCCCGTCCTGCTCCCGTTCCGCTGCCCGTTCCTGCCCTCCGCTCCGCTGCCGTCCATGCCTGCCCGCTCGCTGCCGTCTGCTGCTGCTCCGCTGCCCGGCGGCACCTCGGCGCGCTCCCGCGGAACGGGGAGCGGGCGGGACCAGGCGGGACGGACCCCCGGCGGCGCTCGGTGCGAGGCTGGGACGGGCCGGGGCAGGGGCCGGTCCGCTCTGTTGCTCCAAGGTGAAGGCACATCTCGTAACGTTTCGAGAACTGCCGCAGGCGATTTACGTCCTGCTGCGGGAGCATCTCCCGGCCGGCGCTGGCTCGGCGCGGGCGGCCGGGGGCCCGGCGCGGCGCAGGGCCGGCGGGTGCGCGCGGCTCATGGCCGGTGGCGGCGGCGGGGGGCAATCGCCACCTGCCCGGACGGACGGCGGCTGCGGCGCCTTCCCCCCCGGGCAGCTTCGAAGGACCCCAAAGCGCCTCTACTGGCAAGAACGGCGGCTTCTTCCTGCGCATTCAACCCCGACGGAAGTGTGGACGGCGTCCGCGAGAAGAGCGACCCGCACCAGTGAGTGTCTTGTCCGGCACCGCCGCGCTCGGTGTGCTGGGGCGGGCGGGCGGCCTCGAGGCCCGGGCGCGTGGCTGCGAGAGGGGCCGCGCCTCGGGCCACCGGCCCGCCCTGCCGGAAGCCTCGGCAGCGAGCCTTGCTGGGGGAGCGCCCGTGGAAATGTCTCGTGTGCGAATAAACGCGTGTGTGCGCCGATGTGCGGGGCGAACTCACACGCACGTACCGCGCCGGCTGGGGGGTCCCGGCGAGAAGCCTGGCTGGCCGCTCCGCCTTCAACCTGCCGGGTACAGAGCCCGTCCGGCGCACAGAGGTTCGCTTCTGTGCTCAAAGGTGTCTGAGTTTGTGTGCGTGGCCCTTAAAGGGCTGTAATGGCACTTGCCGCTTCACACGGCGGCGGTGAATGCGAGAGATGCCTCAAGGTAGAAAGGAGGTGGTTCTCTCTTCCAGCGCGGGGAAGTGCTCGTGAATAGGAGTACTTTTACAGGCGTACAAGTACTCTTGCGAACAAAGGTGTAAATCTGTCCAGGGAAGCAGGGTTTATAACAAAGTGCTGTCAGAACACCTTTTTTTTTTGTCTTAAAATGTTGCATGTTGTGATTTTTTAAAAAAAATTCATTTAGGATGTCTTAAATACAGATAAAACTTAGGCATTCCAGCAACAGCAGTTTTTCCGTCCATACCTGATCTCTGGGGGGAGGAAGAGGCTCCTGAGCTGGAAACATAGGTTGAGTGGTTGGTGTGGTCTGAGGGTCTGTGCCCGGTGCCCGCTCTCTGACAGCCGGGCTTGCAGGGAGCATGTGGCAGGTCGCTGTCACAAACACAGGCTGCTCTTCGTCCCAAGAACAAAATGCCTTTTGCAGACCTCGGTTTTGAAAGTATTCAGTATGGAGGGTTTGTGGATGTAACGGTGAGTTTTTGATGTGCCCATGAGGCATGTCCTCCAAAGCAGGTACAGGGAGCTGCTGCATAGCCTGTCTGTCAGATTGTCCCAATGCAATTCCTGGTTTGAGAGAGTTTATTACTGTTCAAAGTGTGCAGGGCCTGCCTGCAGGCACTTGGCATGAAGAGCAGGTGAAATACCTTACTGTGATCCTTCATCTGCTTTGCACCTGTGCTCTGAGTGATGGATGCAGGGACCAGGCAAAAGTCAGAGGACAAAGATGAGAAGGAAGTGAGGAGACAGACCAAAGATTCTTAATATTAGTTTTCACTCTGGACATTCACCATTTGCAAAACAATTGTTTTTTCCCAATAATTCCAAAGAAATCCTGTAACAGAGCATTCACAAATAACAATATTGCCAAGCTGGGCTTCAGTCTGAGGCTGTTCTATTTTGTGACTCTTTGATAGAAATACTGTACATATGACGGGCTGAAAATACATGTGGAACTGTATATTTTGGGAAAGTTTAGCATCCTTTATTAGGCCAACAAGTATTCTTGGGAAAAGCTATAGGAAGCTTTCAGACTTGGTCCTACATGTTTGCATTTCCCCCTTTCTCACGTACTGGCTTAAAGGGAAGCTTAGTCAAGGTTGTGTCAGTAGTAACAAAGGAAGTTTGTTGCCAATATAATGCAGTAAATGACTGAGTGTGGACTGTGAGGCGCTGATGCCTAAAGCAAAGCGTTGATTCACCACGGAGGTGAGTGGCTTGTGTTTTATGCAGACCCCTCGGTTACTGCGCTGGATGGAGTCTGCGCTGGGAAGGGCGCAGGGATATATTCATATTGCTTCAGCCTTCTGTATTTGGGAGATGTGGGAATGAATCCTTACAGGAGAAAGTCTCATTAGTTCATCAGACATGTCACCTCACCCCCAGAAGTAGCTGTGAAAATATGCTGGAAATGTGCAGGGAGATGGTGTTGAGTTGAGGACGTTCAAGACTGAAGGTGGGTCCCAGACATTGCCATGGATATTGGGTTCTTGCCTCATTCCCTAATTTTGCTTTTTGTGGTGGAAAATGCCAGATAGTGGTGCATGTTGTTCTGTGCTCACTTGGCTGGGCCAGGCTGCCTTGAGTGGAGGTGATGTTTATTGCTGCCATTTTTTTCATCACAGAGCTCCCCCATAATCATCTCGTCCCCCCTGCCTTTTCTTATTATTCTGTCAGGAAAACTAACACTAGTTTTACATTCTTGAGTCTGTCTGTCTAATGTTGTGTTTTCTCTTATCAATGCTAAAATTTTTAACTGACTTCTCATGCTACTTTTCTAGTAGTGAATTCTGTATGAAAATCTTTCTAGTTTTGGTGGTACTACCTTATTCTTTCACGTTTCTGTTTTGCTCTATAGCTTTATTTTTGCTGTCATTTCTTTCAGGCTCTCCCTTTTGTCTCTGTACTTTTCCTTCCCTGTCTCTTCAGTACTATCTGATCACTAGTATTCTTTCCCCTTTCCTTTGGCACTTGTGTCTCTGAGGCTCCTCTCTCTTTTGACCTTTTTCCCTCTTGAATGAATGGTGCCAACAGGTAAAGGAAAACCTAAGTTGTAAATGGGTGATGTGGCCTCTGCCCTGTGCTGCAGCAACTCAGATGCCCCAGAGCTCCTTGAGTACCCTCAGCTTGGCACTCTCTGCCAGCTGCAGAAAACCCCTTTGTTTAAAAAGAGCAGTTTGTAAATGTGGAAGGCTGGTGGGATTTGCTTCCAACAAGCCCACCTGGGCACAGGAGCGCTGCCGTGCCTGAGCTACTGCCACGCTCTCCTTTTCTCATTATCAGACAGCTCTTGGCTTGTTACTTTCTCTTTTTTCCTTTTTTTCCCCACTTTTTTTTTTCCCCCCTTTTTCCTGGAAAACCTCTAGTTCTGAGAATCAGAAAATAATCAGTGCTGGAAGCGTCAGCGAGGCGCGTTGCTGCGGCACTGCCTGGTTCACATCCTCAGCATCCTTGCTGTAAACACGTCACTCTGCTGCACTCTGACCCGCTGAGTGCTGCTCTGGGGAAGTCCCCGTGAAATCTCCTGGTATGCCTGGCTGGCATGGCAGATGGCAATAAATCCTGGACAACGTGGGGAGACTTTTAAATAAGGAAATTAGCAATGAAAATATTCACCTCGACTAACTCGCGGTCGTTTTTTTAGTTAAGCTAAAGGGTTTTGTAAGATGGTTTTGAAGAAAGAAATGCAATGGCTGCAGAGAATTTGGTTTAGAAATAATTAAAAGACAGTTGGGAGAGATGCTTGTGGTGGCTGCTATTTTTATGAATTAATTATACAAAATGGCATTTCACTAGCATGTAATCCATTTTACTTTTAAAGGAAGTTCTTATTTTAGAAGGCAAATTACTACCTCCTTACGTTTCAGACCAAAGTTTAATACTATAAACAAATTTCCATGATCCACGTCCTTTTTTGGTGGCCCCTTTCTGCCTCTTGCACTCAGGGATGGCTTGTTTGTAATACATGTCTGGTTCACGTCCTGGCACTGAGAGGTTTGACTGTTTCACACTCACCTCGTTCACCTTCGTTTATTCCTAATTGCATCGTTAATGAAATTAGGAACGGAAGTTGGCATCCACTGGAATCGGAGTCGTGTGATTCACGCAGGACAATACATCCTGCATGGTCGATGTTGCCACATCAGATGTGCATGGTGCAGTGACTTCAGTGAAGTGCCCCTTTGGACACACTCTGGGGACTCCGTTCCCAGTTTTTTTCCCTTGAAGAGGTAGTTTGAGACAAACAAGAAACAGAAGGCGCTTTCTGAGAGTTTTGTTGTTTAAAGCAAAACAAAAAACACGGCTGTTTTGTTGTTGTTGTTGATCAACAACTTCTGCTTTATGCAGAAAACTTACAAAGAACATAGTGTTTTTGGAAAGGCTTTTAGAAACTCTCCAGAGGTGTTTCCCTCAAAGAGGCTACAGTGCCAGCGAAGGGGAAAAGCATGGGGAATGGAAAGGGAACGCTTATCCATACATTTAGAAAATGTCTAATAGCACAGCTGGTTCCCTTCACAGTTTCCCTCACTGAGGAATGGTTGGCATTTATATATTTCCATAATTTCTCAAGCAGCTTTGCTTCATGATGAGCATAAACCAAGACTGTGTCCAAGGAATCCCGAGCCATTCTCATCCACTCCTTAGCGAGGTGACAAGGTTCCAGCCTCTCGCTCAGATTCAGCAGTGTGAGCTGAATCAACCCTGCAGATGTCTGAAATACCTTCTTTCTGCTCAGTACCTGGCTCCTCTTTCTGTAGAAAATGTAAAATAGGGTAATACTGATCCAGGAAAATTTCTTCTTAGGGAAGTTCCTTTCATAAGTCGTTGTTAATGTTAAGATTTTGACTTGTCTCTTAGACAACATTTAAATGGCTACTCTCTAAATATTTGGAAAAGACTCTATTGAAAGTACAGGCCGACTTTCAGAGAGCTCAGTCAAGACAGTAGAAATCTGACTGTTGATCATGCGGTGGAAGAAAACTAAGGGGGGTCCTCAGAAAGAAAAGGTTGAGCAAATGTCAGGAAGTGTTTTAGTATGTTCAGTGCCTGGTGTTTAGGTTTTTATAGGTGCATAAGTTGTTTGGGAGTTGGAAGACTATGAACATTTGGCGTCCCACAGATGTGGCCGGAGGTGTTGACAGGGTACCCACCCTGTTCCAAATCTTAGCACTAGGTGAGAGGTGACTTTTCTTTAAAAAAAACCTGCCCCTAAATGTTCAAATCTTCTGCCCAAGTCCTTCTGAAAATAGACTCTTTTTGCATTACTTTTGATCTGTTGCACAGACCTTCACTGCTTTGCCAAGTACTAACTCTTTGCGACACAGTCGGCACAGAAATTCCTCCCGGCTCTGGGGTGTAGCTGGTTTTAGGGAATGAGGTAGCAGAGACCCCCTGTGCAAAAAAGTTGAGGATAGGCTTCCTTTGCTTTCTTTGTCATAGAAACCATCATGTCTTCTTGTCTGTCATGGTGTCTGCTAATCCTCTGTCCCAGATCTTACTGAGTCTTGCCCACCCCGAAGGTGTGTGACCAAGTAGCGGGTACACTCTGAAGATGGATCAAGACAAT